GAGTTGGGGGCGGAGGGCAGTCTTGTGGGACGGAGCCCTTAGCCTGGGAACCTGGTACTGTCTCCGGGCACACAGCGTCAGGGCTGAGTTGAGTTCTCCAACACCCTGCTGGTGCTCGAGAACTGCTTGGTGTTATGTGTGGGAAGATCCCACATTCCATATTGTATGACCTCAAAGTATCCAATATTTACGCATATTGGAATTGGGTCCAAGTACCTGAATGAAGTTATACTACTATTACTGCTGTGTATAATATTGTGACTGTTAAACATGTTATGTAGGGAAAAAAATGCACCATGGCATTCGGTGTTGGACAAGTGGGAATCACAGCTCCATGCCGCTCTGGGTCGCTGTGGCTCCTCGGTCTGTGTTTGGCCTTCAGAACTTGACACTTTTTAAAGAGTACTGGCTGACAGGCACATAAAAAGTTGTTCCACGTCGCTAATTATCAGGGAAATGCAAATTAAAACCACAGTTAGATATCACCTCACACCAGTTAAGATGGCCAACAAGCAAAAGATAAGGAACAACAAATGCTGGTGAGGTTGTGGAGAAAGGGGAGCCCTCCTACACTGCTGGTGGGAATGTAAGCTAGTTTAACCCTTGTGGAAAGCAATATGGAGGTTCCTCAAAAAACTAAAAATAGAAATACCATTTGACCCCGGAATCCCATTCCTTGGAATATACCCAAAGAATACAAGTTCTCAGATTTAAAAAGACATATGCACCCCTATGTTTATCGCAGCACTATTTACAATAGCCAAGAAATGGAAGCAACCTAAGTGTCCATCAGTAGATGAATGGATAAAGATGATGTGGTACATACACACAATGGAATATTATTCAGCCGTAAGAAGAAAACAAGTCCTACCATTTGCAACAACATGGATGGAGCTAGAGGGCATTATGCTCAGTGAAAAAAGTCAGGTGGAGAAAGACAAGTACCAAATGATTTCCGTCATCTGTGGAGTATAACAATGAAGCAAAACTGAAGGAACAAAACAGCAGCAGACTCACAGACTCCAAGAAGGGACCAGGGATTACCAAAGGGAAGCGGGTGGAAGAGGGGGTGGGGAGGGAGGGAGAAGGCGATGAAGGGGCATTATGATCAGCACACATAATGTAGGGGGGGCACGGGGAAGGCAGTGTAGCACAGAGAAGACAAGTAGTGACTCCGTAGCATCTTACGATGCTGATGGACAGTGACTGCAGTGGGGGGTGGGGGACCCGATAATATGGGGGAATGTAGTGACCTCAGTGTTGCTCGTGTGAAACCTTCATAATATCAATGATACCTTAATAAAAAAAAAAGAATGCTGGCCAGTTATACTCTAGGATGTCCTTAGGCTTGGGTTTGTCTGATGTTTCCTTATGATCAGATCGAGATGCGTGTTTGGCAAGAACACAGTAGAAAGGCTGTGTCATCTCAGCCCACCAGGGTCACAGGCTCCTGATGATGGTGACTGTGGTCATTTAGTTCAAGGGTATCTGCCACTTTCTCCCTGGTACAGTACCGTTTTTCTCTTTGAACTCGGTCGGGAGTTCCCTGGGGTGGATACTTGGAGGTCATACAAACATTCTGTTTCTGGTGGGTGTTTAAGCCGCCAGCAGCTCACACCTGCAACAACTGTTGCCCTGCTTGCTGGGTGGTGATGGTCCCGTCATTCTGAATGCATTTAGGACTTGTGGTCATGCTGCAAGGGGGCGGTCCTTTCTCCCCGTTTGTTACCAAAGTGTGGACTAGTATTTATTTCAGTTGCTGGTCAACAGTCCATTACTATCATTTCCCTGTTGCCCTAGATTTGGCCACTGGGGCACTTCCCAGCTGCAGCCTGTGCCTTCTGGGTGCACCCCCTCATTTTCAAGTCCTCTCACCTTCTGGGGCACAGAACACTCCATGCTCATCTCCCCTGTTCTCTGGGAGCCTGGGCTCCCTTGCTGAAGGATGGTGTGCACAAAGCTCCGGTGCAGGGCGGGCAAGCGCTCCCTCCAGCTTGCCCGGGGTGGGGCTCCCTGGGACTCCCGAGTGCGCTGTCCCGAGCGGCCACTCCCCCTCCGTGCCCGGTTTGCTCCCTGCTGCCAGAACGTCTTTGCCTCTAGGCCTGTTGTTGAACATAGCTAGGACATGCGTGTGTGTACACTTATGTGCACCTGAGTACCTGTTTCCACGTCCAGTCTGTAGGTGCAGGGAAAGTCGCATGTTCACAGTGACACCTCCATTTCCACTGTGGCACGGGGTCCGTCCTCGCCACCCGCGTTCCCTTTTTGCATCTCCCTCCTCACCCAGGCTCCACAGGGCACTTGCTTGCTTGATCTTCATATGTACACAGAGCAGTTTCACAATTGCTAACAGTTCTGCAGTGATTGGGTGCCGTCCGTTTGGAGGCCAGCTTTACGACCTACAGGATACCATTTCCAAAGTCAGCTGGGTTCTTTCAGGGGGTCGTGTTGCTGATAGTACAGTTTGCACATTTGTTACTGTTTGTATTTCATACTCTTGGTCGTTGACTTTGGGTTATGGGAAACGTTACCTAAGACGCACAGGAAGGTGTACGCAGAGATGTCACATTTTCCCTGCGCTCAGCCGCCCCGTCCCCAATCCACTGTTCTTTCCATTCTGTTCCCACATACCCTTTATGGATTGTACTGCTGCCTCCCCTACGAGACGCTGAAATCCAAACTGAGTCAGTCCCTGTGATGTGACCTTATCTGGAAATGGGGTCTTTGCAGATGATCAAGTTAAGGTGAGGTCATTAGGGTGGGCTCTAATCCACTGTGACTGTCCTTAACAAAAAGGGGAAATTTGGACAGACACACAGAGGGAAAATAACAGGAAGACATGGAGAAGACAGCCAGCTGCCTACAAGCCGGAGCACCTGAGGCCACCGAAGCGGGCAGCCTGGCTTAGAACCGATCCTCCCTCTTAGCCTTAGAATGAACCGGCCCCACCAGCACTTTGATTTTGGACTTCTGGCCTCTACAACTGGGAAACTAATACGTTTCTGTTGAAAGTACCCAATCTGTGGCACTTTGTTGCAGCAGCCACAGGAAACTTAACTCCCAGCCTCATTAGTTTCTGGTTTATCTTCCCCATGTTTCTTGCACAAATGAGCGGACACATTGGTGTTTCCCGTGTCTCTTTCTTACATGAAGGGTGATGTGGACTACATAGCTTGGTCGCTCAGGAGCATTATTTTTAATAGCACAAAACTAAAAATAGCTTAAACACCCGTCGAGCACTAGTTATCCGTTACAGTGGACTCCCACTCGCTCATTAAAAAGGATGAGCAGTTCTATATGTACCAAGACGGAATGAGCTCTAACGTGTTGTTGACTGAAATCTTAAGTTTCAAGACAGGAAATAAAGTATGTGGCCATAAATCAAATAGCTCCCTGTCTTTATCTGGGAACACGTTCAGAATAGTTCATTTATGGGAGTTTCAAAATGCTGAGAGTCCTTAGCCTTTGAATTTTTCAATTTCCCATAATTTCTGCCTTCCATTGGGGTCGGGATAGTTTCCACTGGGAGAGGCCCTGAGGCATCTAGTCTTCCTGAGGGAAGGACGCTGTTAGCAGAACGCGGGTAGGACACCGTGGGGCAAATGGTGAGCTCAGTAAATTTATGCAAGTGGAACAGACCAGAAATACTTCAGTCCTAGTAAACTTCGGAAACCATCTCCTCCCGGGGGTGTGACGTGCTGCCTTGGGGTTTCTGTGGTTGGGTCATGGCTGCCCGATGAAACACGTAAGAGGGGCACTGGATGGAAGAATTCCTGGCGCGAGGCTGCTCGTGTGGGGACGTGAGCACCGCCTGTCGGGAATCACTGGGCGGGGCACCCACCCCCTCTGGGAGAGCCCCTCCTCTGCCTTTCATTCTCGCCGTGCCGCGACTTACCCGTCAGCGCAGCTCGGTCGGCGTGTTCTGCTCAGCACTCGAGTCCTGGCCCTGTGTGGGGCCAGGTGTGGGGTTTCATCTCCCCTGTACCCCAGCCTCACCGATGTCCTCCCTGAAGCCCTGCAGTGCTTTAAGGTGGAGGCCCCCAGCTTTGGCGGGGGACCTGTTGTCTCGGATGTGTGTGTGGGCGCTGTCTCGGGGTGGGACAGCTGCCTGGTCGGCCGGCATGGTTCCCTCTGTGGGCCAGCTGGGATCGCTGGGATGAGCTCTAACGTGTACCCCTGCCCACGTCCTTGAGCTCCCCTGGCCTGGTGCAGACTGTTCATTAAACCCTCTTACCAAGTATCATTTAGCTCCAGAAGAAATAGTGCAGTATTTTGTGTGCTTTTTTTTTTCTTTTTTAGCTATATGGATAAAGTGAACAATGCAGTTAAACCCAGAGAATTTATTAGACTGTTTAGAAATTGAATGTCTTCTGAATTGGGGTGGATGTTTTTAAGGTATTCTGCATAGAGGTAAAGGCTAAATCCAGGAATAAGTTGAAGGCCAGTGTTTATACGTTGTAGGAATGGGGAGTCAGGCATTGGTTGATTGACACCTTCAGGTTGTTTCTGGATGTCCTGATCCATTCCTTTCTGACCTACCAGATTCCTTAGAAGGTCATGAGACTTGACATTGTGTTGAGGGCTGGGCCCTCCCAGGGTTTCTCCCCCTTCGCTCGGGGCAGTCGCATGGAGAGGGAGGCTGGCCCGCCCCCACTTCAGGCCCTGTGGGGCTGTGAGCGTCAGCGATGCTTCTGTCCGGCGGGCTTGTACAAGGTGTTAGCAGGACGCACCCCTGCCCACCTCCCGCAGCTCTGCCCGAGCTCTGCTACTTTCTTGGTACTTGACATGCGAGGGGAGGTGTTGCCAAGCTACACCTGAAATAGCCGCTGGCTGCCCAGCGTTCAGTCACTGCTGATTCCACCTGGGTGGGGGTGGGGGTGAACAGCCTGCTTGAGAGAGCTGCACGTCGGCCTCTGCAGGACCGACCGGGTGTGATGACCCAGGACGTCCTGCTTCTGGTGTTCTACCGACTCTCATGCCCTCTGCGTATCTGTTTTCAGGAAAACCGGTTCTGTGTTCTTGGAGGCCCCTGTCCCTGTCCGGAATCCCCAGGCGAAACCTGGCTGCAGGCTTCTGCGCAGGACGGCCCTTGAGCTCACGGGCTGCTGAGGACAAGACGGAGGAGCCCTTGCGCTCCATCAGCAGCGGCTCCGAGGCCGTGCAGGGTATTGTGCTCGGCGGCTCCTGGCCCGGGAAGCCTTCCCCCGCTGGGGTGCTGGCTCGTGAGGGGGTTTTTCAGAGGCAGGAGCAGTGACTGAGAAGCCAGCCCACTCGCTGGGCGGTCTCGGAGGGAGGGTTTCCCAAAGCAGTGCCGCCTCCTCCTCGGTCTTCGTGGGGCCTGCCTTCCACCCAGTGCGTCTTGCCCCCTCTGGTGGTCACCGAGAGTTCCCAGCAGGGCCCCATCTCTGGGTGGTGACTCCCGGCACATCTGCTGATAATCATGGAAGCGGCACATGAACCCAGGATTGGCCCCACGAGGCAGGCCCCCCCGCCCCAGGGGTCTGTTCGCTGCTGGGATGTGTGGGAACCCAGTCTCCATAGCCCGTCCTCAAGTGGGTCCGTTTTTGGCTTTCCAATGAGACAATAGCAGAATCTTTGATGTTGGGGTTAAGAAGAGAAGTGAGGTTTTCTGCTATTTTGTCTTCTAAAGAATTAATTTGGTAACGACCTTTCTAAAGAACAGAATGCAAGCTCTGGTTGCCAGAGCCAGCTGACTCTCACCGGGCACGCTGGGAAGGGTTGACCCTCGAGGCAGCCGGGGCCGAGGGGTGCAGGCCCCACCGTGGGAGGCGGTGCAGGCTCGCTGCCTTTACCGTCTCCGTGGGGAGAGGGGACCCGCTTCGTAGGCCCCCTCCTGAGGCTCCTGCCCAAGAGCCCTAGACACTGTTTCTTTCTTATTCATTCATTCTTTTGAAAAATGTTCAAAATTCATTACCTTAAATGTTGTTTGGATCATTGTATAGCACGTACACTTCTACCAAAATAGAAATTAAACGTCCTTGTTTGTGTCTGTGATTGCTTACCAGGTTCCGTTTCCAAACACGAGTTCCAGGCTGAGACAAAGAAGCTTCTGGACATTGTTGCCCGTTCCCTGTACTCAGAAAAAGAGGTGCAGTACCTGTTAATCACTCCCGGTGCTGGCAAGGTTTCTTCTGGCAAAATTATTTTTATGCTATTCTGGGGAAATGCCAGATGGTATCTTAGCTGTGAGGCTGTGTTGAGTTTGGACAAGTCCTGATCTTGGCTGCCAGCAAGAATATTTCTACCAAAGTCTGGGTTTCATGGACAAATATATCCAGATGATTCTTTGGACCAGACTGACTCCAGGAATCGAGGAATTTTGCTTATAATCTAGGAGTCCTCAGATACTGGCACTGAGACCCTCCTGTGGCTCTGCCCGTGTGCCCCAAGGCCTCGTCACTTGGCCTGTCAGCTCAGCATCACCACCTGTGGTCTGCGGGGCGTCGGGACTGGAGGACGGTGTTCCTTTGTTCCCTGGCCTTGTGTGGGATTGAGCAGTGAGCCGCTGCTGAGGGCCTTTTGGAGGACACTAAACTGACTGAGGGGTGACAGGCCGTAGAGAACACGTGGGCTACCACTGTCCCCATGCTCGTGGCTAGAATGCCAAGGAGAACTTTGAAGGAAGGTAAGGCACAGCATCCCAGAGTGAAGAGGGGCTTCTCGGGAAGCGTTTCCAGGGCTCATGCTGAAACATACTCCCCTTGGGCATTCCTGTCCTTGTGGGCCCAGCTCGCCCCACCTGCCCCTCCCCGTGGGTGGCTCTCACGGAGGTGGAGGGTCAGACTGAGCTGAGGTGCCTCTCAGGCACTGATGGGAAGCAGCCCCGAGGCCCCTTCCTCCTGAGCATGGAAGTTCTGGACTGGGGTGATCTTGCTGCATTACATGGAGCCAGTGAGCCTTTGTTCATGGAGTAGAAGAAATAGAAGTTTGGGTATTTTTGACATCTCTGCACAAGAAGTGGGCTCCCCCTGGGTTCTTCTTAAAGTTTGAGTTAGTGTAACAAGACAACTTCACGGTTGATTTTTCAGAGGAAGCAGTAGAATTAAAAGTTTATTCCATAAAGCTGTTTCAGGGACAAGCAATAGGCCGCTCCTTACCTTTCTTCAAAGTTCTTGCATTCCAGCAGTGAGCATGGAGACAGTGGTGGGCCGCACGTTCTCTACTTTCTCTGTGTCCTGCCAACCCCTCAACCAGTTTAGTCTCTTCCATTTTGTTCCCTGCCCTGGGGAAACTGCCTTTGAGTTTCCCCTTTATGGTTTTGTGGTTAAAAATCAGAATATTGTCATCCAGCTGTTTGCTGCTGAAACCAGAAGGTCCTGCAGTGTCAGCAGCCTATTTCCGTTCCCATAGGTGTTTATACGGGAGCTGATCTCCAATGCCAGCGACGCCTTGGAGAAACTGCGTCATAAGCTGGTGTCTGAAGGCCAAACGCTGCCGGAAATGGAGATTCACTTGCAGACCGACGCTGAGAAAGGCACCATCACGGTCCAGGTACCTCCTCCCACGTGTCCTGACACGGGGCCTGCCTCCCTGCCTCTTGCGCTGGTGCCCCCACGGGAGTGACTGGCAGGGCCTGTGGGCCGCGGCCCCCTTCACAGGCTCTGGGGAAGGGCACGGGCTTGCCAACTACTGTTACTGTTTTAGTGAATGTCTATTTAGATTTTGGGTGTCTATGCACTTATTTACTTATCTAGACATACGTAAATAAATATTTATTATTATTTTTTAATGTTCTCTTTAGATTTTTAACCCAACTCTTCCTCTTGTAATTCATGTTTCCTCAAATTATTAAATATCCCTGTGGCACTGTTTTTAATAGCAGCCTGCTATTCGCATTAACAGTCTGGCTTTACGCAAAGCAATACTTTTGGTTGCTGTTGTAACCTTTTGAAAATTCTAAGATCAAAAAGTTAGGAAAGCCAAAGGGGGCCTGGTTACTAAGGCAGTTGGGCCTAAGGGCCGTGATGGTCCCGAGACGGCTGCTGCTGGACCTGCCCCCCCAGGGCCACGGCTGGGGTGCCAGTGCCAGGATGTGCTGGACACTGTTTGTCTGGGCCTCCTGCCTCTGCGCGGGAGCTGATGCGCCTGCGTGGGACCTGTTCCGGGGTGTCTGTGCTCTCTCGTTCACTCACTCCCGGGGGTCCGGGTATGTGTGCACCTCTCCTGTTGTTTTAAGAAGGTTTATTGAGGCATAATTTACATACAGTAAAATCTGTCAATGTTAAGTGTACCGTTCAGTGAGTTTCAAGCGGTGTGCGCATTGTTGTAACTACACATACCATCAGGACGACAACACCCCTGCTGTTTCCTCCCCACTTCCCAGCCCTGTCATCCACAGAGCTGCTTCCTATCACTAGGGTTTTGTATTTTCTAGAATTCCATGTAACCAGAATTACGCATTAGGTAGTCGTTTGAGTCTGGCTTCTTTGACTCAGCAAAATGCTCTTGAGATTCATCCGTGTTGCATGTATCAGTATTTGTGCCTTCCTGTCACTGAGAAGTGTTCTGTGTGCGTGTGAAGCAGTCTGTGTATCCTTTACCAGTTGATCAAGCATTTTGGTTTGTTAACACCTTTGCCCTTATTATTCAAGATACTGATTATTGTTAATTATTATTCAAGATTATAATCGAATTACCTGGGGACCATTATCAAAAATCAAGTGGCTGTGCATCTCAGTTTCTCATCTGTGTGTCTCTGTCCTCTAGTAAGGCCTGGCTGAGGTGACTGCATCCCTTCTGATGGCTGTGGGGGTGTGTCCCTGAGCCCTGCCTGGCAGGTGTCATCGATGCCATTCGCACCCTGGGCCATTGTACACGTCCATCCCTGCTCCCCACCGCCAACACTTCGGCATGTGATGTGTCTCTCTCCTTAGGACACTGGCATTGGGATGACACAGGAAGAACTGGTGTCCAACCTGGGAACGATTGCTAGGTCAGGGTCAAAGGTAAGCCTCCTGTGACCCCTTTCCTCAGGCACTGAAGCTGCTTCCACCCTCAGGCTTCGAGGATCTGTCTTTGAGGGGCAGCTCTGACCAGAGAGGGCACATTGTCCCAGCACACTCCAGACGCCAGCTTCAGTGTGAACACATTAGCATGTGATTTCATATGTCATCACTGGGACCTCTGAGGTCACTCCTGTTATTTTGTAGATGAAGCTTTTCCCATAGCTAGAAATTGGCCATCCCATGGTTCACAGCCCATCAGTCTGAGTCCAGACCACTCCATTCTGTCCCTGACTCTCTTCTCTCAAGTCGTTTCTCAGCAGTTGCTGGAGTGGCGTAGGCGTGAAGCAGAGCCCCTTGGCGTGAGCTGGGCCCTCGGCACGTGCGGGCTGCACAGCGCCTCAGGCCCCTCGCAGACTGAGCCACAGGGCTGGTCACTGCTAATGTGACTTGATGCCTGTGAGGGGCGGATGGGTGGGGTGGCCTCTAGCAGCACCTGTGCCAGCCCAAGGCAAAGGCTGTGGCCTTGGCTGCCTCTGCACCTCTCCTTGGAGGCCAAGTGCTTTTTGTTTGTTTTTGTGGCCCTTTGTGGTGCCTATAAAAGGGCATCTTGCACCACATGCTTCCAAATAGCCTAATTGTTAGTCGAAAGTGATTCACAGAACTATCTACTTTGCCTAAGTTACTTCCTTCCCACTGCATTCTTGTGTTCCCATCACAGAAAGCCGGTGCCATCACAGACAGGAGCACTCGCTCCATATGGCTGTTTAAATTTAAAATCAAAGTGACCTGCAACTTGAAGTTTAGTTCCCCGGTCATACTAGCCACAGTCCCCGGGCTGGGCACGCATGTGGTCAGCAGCCTCCACCCTGGACCACATGGAACATACACTGTACATAGCAGCGCACATGTGTATCTTACTTAATTTTTCATCTTAGGAACTTTGATAACATGAGTTTTAATTGAGTGCCTTGAGATAACATACAGAAGTGTGTGTTTGGTATGTATGATTTTTCCCAGGAGGCTTAAAATCTAGGAGACAGAGTTCCCCGCTGGAAGTCTCCTCCTTCGCCTGCTCCACTCCGGGGGCTGGGGATGGCGGGGAGCCATCTGCGAGGCCCCTGCCGCCACACTGCCGGGGTTCTCTGTGACGTGGGGTGGGCAGTGCTCAGTGTGGTTGTCTGGAAGAACAAATACGTCTCAGCGTGCGCTGGAGGAACAAGCACAGGGAGTCACCAATGTCTGTTCTCTCTGGGGAAGGGGGCACCTTCCCTCTGACCAGCCTTCGCCACCGCAGGCCTTTCTGGACGCGCTGCAGGACCAGGCGGAGGCAAGCGGCAAGATCATTGGTCAGTTCGGAGTAGGTTTCTACTCGGCGTTCATGGTGGCCGACAGGGTCGAGGTCTATTCCCGCTCGGCAGCCACGGGCAGCCCCGGTTACCAGTGGCTTTCCGATGGGTGAGTGTGACATCGGGGTCCCCGCATTATACAGGGTGTGCCTGCCCCCGGGGCTCCCGCAGCCCAGCTCGCCAACATGCAGACGGAGATTCAGGTGAAGCATTACTGCTTCACCGGGAAGGAGACTCCACAGAAAGCGGCAGTGGGCCTCCTGGGGTCCGGGGCACCGGTCAGTCTTCCCACACCACATGGCTCCCCTCGGCCTGTGCTCTGGTGGGGCCTGTCCTGGGCGGGGCCCCTCTGAATGGTCAGCTACATTTAGGACCAGCTGTTCCCCAGGGGGGCCCGGCGGTCTTCTTGGGCCTGTTCTGTGTGAGCCCACCTCCCACACGCAGCGGCCAGTGCCGCTGACAGAGGCTCGGTGGCCTGGGGGCTCGGCCAGGTCGGCAGCAGCACTCCGGCTGCCCTCTCTGCGTGTTGGCGGTGAGGGGCCTGCCTATGGGGGATCTGCCAGCAGCCATGTGTGTGTCTGGCTTCCCCTTTCCCGTGTGTCTCAGCTCTGGGGTATTTGAAGTCGCGGAGGCCTCTGGAGTTAGAACCGGGACCAAAATCATCGTCCACCTCAAGCCAGACAGCAGGGAGTTTGCTAGCGAGGCCCGGGTCCGAGGTGAGTGTAGCCCAGGCCTTGGGACGTGCGCACAGCAGCAGCCAGGCTGGCAGGGCGCCCCCCCACTGCCGTGTTCCTGTCTGGACCGGGAGCATGGGGGGTGCAGGGCAGGGGGCTGCTGGGGCGGCCAGTAGGTCTCCTGGGCCAGAGCCCCTGCAGGCTGCCAGCCGAACCAGGGACAGGCTGCTGTGGTCAGGGGCGCTCGCTCTCCCTCCCAAGCGGCACAAGTCCCTCCAGCGTCCCACCTGTGTTGTGCAATGTCACACGCCCGCCCTCCCAGCCTGAGCCCAGCTTCCAGCACGAACCAGAGCCAGTGCTTCCGGGCATGGTTTTCCCTGGCCTCACCGAATGCTGATCAAGTGCCATGTGCTTTCCAGGCATTGCTGTTGGCCCCTAAAACCATACTTATGCCACCATGAAGGCGTGTGGCCTCGTGTGGCCCTGGCCTCAAAACATCTGGTTCTGGAATGAGGCCTGCTCAACACGTGTGGGCAGGACAGGGTCCCTGTGATGGCCTGGCTTCCAGCCTCCCCTGTGCGCCGACTGCTCCACAGCGCCTTGCAGAGTGTTGTCACCGGAAGCCTCTGTGTTTGTGGTTTTCCTTTTGTCTCTTCCAGATGTAGTGACAAAGTACAGTAACTTCATCAGCTTCCCCTTGTACCTCAACGGAAGGCGCACCAACACCCTGCAGGTGGGGCCCTCAGCTGCCTGGAGGTCTCAGCTGGTACTCAGTTGGCCGGACGGGCAGAGACGGACTGGGAGATGGTGTCACAGTCCCTGGGCTAGGGGTTCTTTGTGGATGGGTGAGCTCTGCAGGTGCAGGCAGGGCCCCCAGCCCCCTGTACCCTGGCCATTTGCACTGGGGGCCTCACGCCTGTACAGTTCCCCCTTTTTTACGGTGTATAGTGCATTGGTCCTTAGTGTGTCCATAGAGTCATGCAACCAGTCAATTCTAGAACATTTTCATCACTCTAGAAAGAGGCCCTACCCCCACTAGTGGTCCCCATTTCCCCCCTCTCTGGCCCCTGGCATCCACCCATCTGCTTTCAGTCTCTGTGGGTTTCCCCATTCTGGACATTTCATATAAACGGAATCAAGCACTACATGGCCTTCTCTGTTTGGCTTATTTTATCACAAGGCTTGTCCGTGTTGTGGCATGCGCCTGCGCACCAGTCCTTTTTAGGCAGACGGGTGCCCCCTCCTGTGGCGAGACCAGGTTTCTTTGTCCGCTCACCCGTTGATGGCTAGTAGATGGTGATGTACGGATGTACGGCACGTCCAGAACCTGCCCCTGCCTGGCTCCTCCTGCCTCTGGCCTGGGGAAGCGCACTTGATCCGAGACCCTTTTCTGTGTCCTGCCGCCCCCATCCCCAGCTGGGGCATGTGGGACTGGAGACAGAGGGTCTTGTACCCAAGACTGCCACCCTGTGTGTCCCAGGCGTGTCCTTGAGCGCACGCAGGGTCACGGATTCTGCCTGCTCAGCCCACAGGCTGTTGGGAGGATGCATCTCATTCATAATGTCCCCCACTAATCTCTATTCCAGGCCATCTGGATGATGGATGCTAAGGATGTGGGCGAGCAGCAGGACGAGGAATTCTACCGCTATATCGCTCAGGCCCACGATAAGCCCCGCTACACCCTGCGCTACAGGACGGATGCACCGCTGAACATCCGCAGCGTCTTCTATGTGCCAGAGACGGTGAGCCCTGTGCAGCTGCTCATTGGCCCGTCCGCTGCTCCCTGAAGCGGCCATCCCGCCTGGTGATGGTTTTCCCACGGCACTTTCCCTGAACAGTAACAGTTCAGCACAAACATATCACGGAAGTTAACTTGGCAGCATCAGAGTGAAAGAAAACCCTGTGCCCTGGGGCGGGGGGACGCAGGTTTCAAGCGAGGAGTGTCTGCATGCTGTCTTCTGGGGAGGAACAGGAATGTTTGGTGCTGGCTGGGAGCCTGGGCTCTTGAATGGGGTGCTGGCCTGGGGTGTCTGCGGTGGGGGCCCCTGGGCAGCCCGCTGGGCTTCCTGTCTGCAGGCAGGCACGTCCCTGGGCTGTGTGGAGGAACGGGGATCTGCCGCTCAGATGAGGCAGTGGGCTGTCCTTGCTGCCACTGGGCCCCTGGGACGTCTGGAGCGCAGCAGTTAGGGGAAGGCTCTGCCGAAGCCCGCCGGGGCGAGCGCGGCCTCTCCTGGCTTCATCTGACTGCGGCCCTCCTGACGCCCTGTTCCCCGTTCTGGAAGGCGTCTTCCAGACCCCCACCACAGACCAGACCAGCAGCACCAGCGTCTCCTGGGACGTGTTAGGGGTGCAGAGTCCGGGCATCTGCCCCACAGCCAGGACCTCCTGAGTCAGTCTTCATCTCGACACGGTGTGATGTGTGTGCAAATTGCAGGTGGCACAGCGCTGGTGTCGAGCAGGCCCCCACAGGCGTTTCTGTGCAGGGCCAGGTAGTGGCGGCTTTGAGCCCTGCAGCCCAACGCCGGCATGACCGCACTGCAGACCGCGCCTGAGCCAGCCGGCAGGGCGGTGCCACGGGAAACTACGGACATCAAATTCGGATATTCCGTATTTTTACATATCATGAAATACTCATTTTTTCCTCAACTATTTAAAAATGGAAAAGCCTTCCTGGGCTACACAAACCAGGTGATGAGCTAGGTCCGGCCTAGGGCCGAAGCCCGCTGTCCCCGACCCCGACCCCTAGCAGGTTTGGCCCGTTCCCGGACACACTGCTCATCGTTTCTTGCATCCCTGGGGGAGGGAGGTGGGGAGGGCGGCAGCTGCCTTAGGGAGGCACCCCTGCTCCCGCTCCGAGCTGCTGTGGGGGGGTCTCGGGCACGGGTGTCCCCCTGGATTGGTGCACATGCAGCTCAGGGCTCCCCTCCAGAAGGGGTGGTTTTCAGCGTCGTCAGCGGAGTCCATGTGACCCCTCATAGGCTCCGCGTCCTCCTCTGCGGCCAACGGGGATTCCTGCCGTTGCCCCCTGACACCGCTCTTTCCTTGCCCCCAGAAACCGTCCTTGTTTGACGTGAGCCGCGAGCTGGGCTCTGGCGTTGCGCTGTACAGCCGAAAAGTCCTCATCCAGACCAAGACCACTGACGTCCTGCCTACGTGGCTGCGCTTCATTCGCGGTACGGTGCCCCAGCCTGTGCGCAGCGTGGGGGCCGCAGCCCCACCGCCCGGGGCCGTGAGCGGGCGCTGGGTGTGGCCGGGTGCTGACGCGATCAGAAAGAGCTCTGCTCTTCCCGCCCGTAGCCACAGTGGGGAGCAACTCAGAGCCCCCAGGGAGCGTCTGGCCTCCAAACGGCAGTCAGGGTTGATTTGGGGATGTGGGTAGCAAGATGTTTGAATCACGTTCTCTGAACGTTTAAAGGTATTACCTGAGTTTCAGGTTTATATATGAATTGCCTTTGACATGAATTCTTTAAAAGCTTAATAAAGAATTCATTAAACTCTTAGTACCATTTTGTCACACAAAGTTGCAAAATATCCACGATGCATTTATGATTTTGAACATAAAATCCAGTAAGTGGTTTTCAGTGTGAAACTGATGCTGAAATCTTAGTTACTGTCTCCGGCCTGGCCCGCTCTGCTTCGTCACATCGCTGTCCAGGGCGTCAGCGACACGGAGGGGCTGGGGCACCTTCCCGACTGGGCCTCCCCCCTTCGGCTGTCCCTGCTTCCCTCTTACCCACACGTGGGCTGTGCAGAGCGCGGGGGCCTGGCAGGAGCCGGGAGGCTGGCGGTGTGGGTGGGACAGGGCCGTGCGTCCAGGATGTTCTGACGGAGCTTTGTCTCTAAGGTGTGGTGGACAGCGAGGACATCCCCCTGAACCTCAGCCGGGAGCTCCTCCAGGAGAGCGCGCTGATCAGGTACGAGGCGCAGCCGTGCGGGCTGTGAGGTGCCGGGGCGGAGCACAGGGCTGAGCCGGGCCCTATTGGCGGGGCCGGGGTCAGGCGTGCTTTACCCACGGTTACACTAAGAGTTTTTATAAAGGCCCTTGCGGACTGACTACTGAGGAATTACTATGGGTGCCAGATGCCCCCAACCTTGGCCAGCCCACGCCCGGATCCCAGAGAGCGGGCACGCTGTCTCTGAGGTGGACAAGGCACAGGACAGCCACAAGGCCAGGAGAGACTGACCTCGGTCCCTGGTGGTGTGAAGGGCAGAGGCCGGGCACCAGCCCCTTCTGGAGGTGGTGCTCTTGGAATCCCCGTAGGCTGAGGTGGTGGCCTTTCTCAGCCTCCCCATCCCAGTGTTTGCTCCCACCCAGAACTTTGCCAAACCCTTCGCATACAGCTCATGTGATCCTTTGAGGTGGGGCCCACTGGGTCCCTGTGTTCACAGTCACGTCAACCAAGTCCCAGAGAGGTCACACCAGCCAGTGAAGCATATCTGAGTCTGTGTCTTCTGACCTTGGGCTGTGTGCTCACCCAGCAACTGGTGGTGCCTGAGGCTGCAGGCTGACATGCATCGGCTGCCCCGTCGCTCTTTGTGGTTTTCAAGGGCTAGATTTTAAGTCTAAGAACTATTCTTGGTCAGAGAAGAGTCATATTACAGAAAAAGAGAAGTGACAGTGTCCTCTTTTTTCCCCTGAACCCTCTGAGAGTAAGCCGTTCCCCGATGTCCCATCTTCCGCAGGTACCTTCGGGCGTCTTTGCTCTGGACAAGCATGTTCCCCCCCAGCTCCGGTGCAGCCGCCTGAGGCGGAGGCTGGCCTGGTGCAGCACCACCCCATCCTCAGACCCCTTTGCAGCCATCTGCTTGGCCCCATCGTGTCCTTTGCATTGAGGGGGTCCAGCCCAGAGTCGCACGGGCTTTTGGTCGCCACGTCTCTGTGGCCTCCTTCAGGCTGGCCAAGGTCTGGCCCTTCCCTCAGGATCTGGCTGTCTCTGGAGTCTAGGCCGGTGATGTGTGAGGTCGTGGCTCAGTGGGGCTCCCTGGAGTAGGTGCAGGACTGGCACAAAGCGACTGCACCCCATTGGTGGCACCTGCTGGAGCCGCCCCCGAGTGCCAGTGCTGGCTTTGGGGCTCCTGGGGTATCTGCCCGTCTCCCCAAGGGAAGGTACTCTTCCCCGTACGGAACGCATCTTTATGTGGGGTGGGATTTTGCAGCTGTGTAAGTAGTGTGTTACCTCATCAAACTTCCAAAGTATTCATTTATTATAATACTTATGTGGCTTTTCTTATGTCTGTTTTATTAGTGGGCTCTGATCTATTGCTATCCTCACTTACTGTGATGCCCACACCGTCCCTGATTTAGCCACGGAGCACGGCTGGGCAGATGGCTCCCGTGCCCTTTGACGTGTTGCTGCCATGCTCCCACTGCCTCCTGGCCTCTGGCAAAGGTGATCGAGGCTCGCTTTGTATTTTGGCTCCATCACTTCCCACCAGGAATGACTCATTCCTCCCGGAGCCCGGGTTCCTTAGAATGGACAGTGCTGTTTAGATGCCAGGCCCGGGCACTAGGCGTACCACTGCTGGCCATGTTTCCCAGGCCTACTACGAGACAGAGCTGAGGACAGACGAGGGTTGGTGTGAGTGTGTGCACGCATGCACACGTCTGCGAGCACATGTGTTTCTGTGTCCCTTGCGTCCACCCAGCACCACTGGTCCCGACTGTCGCCCCTTCCCACATCTGCCCCCTTGACAGAGATCTGCTCACTCTCCGCTCGCTGTCCTAACGCCTCCCCTCCAGGAGGCCAGCCTGCCATGTGGAGCTGCCTGCACGCCCTGTGGGGGCCTTGCCCCTTGACTCTACACCCAGGCTTGCCTGCCCCAGCCCTACGTGGACTCCTCCCTGTGTCCTGCGCCCCATCCCAGCTGCTAGGGCTCCCCCGCTGCAGGTGTGGGTGCCGCCTGGCCCACTCTGCCCTGTGCCGAAGGACCGAGCCCTGCCAGACGGGAGCCACAGGGAAAAGGAAAAGCTTAGATGAGTGCGAAGTGGTGTTGCCCCCGACCTTGGATTATTAAGGAAACACACGGAAACTTCACTTTTTCAAAGGAAAGGCAAAATATTAAGAAAGAAATGAAAGTACCCCTAATTTTGCCGATCAAGTTGCCCATAGTTTTGTCCACCATGTGATACCGCAGGTATGCCTCCTGCGCAAGCCGGAGTCGTGTGGTGTCTGCGTCCGTAATGCCACGTGACACTAGCTCACCCCCTACTGGGATTTTTCTGGGTTTTCTTCCTCGTGTCGTGGGACTATCAGAGGATGTGATTTTCAATGGCCGTGCAGTTGCCGTCATTCATCTTGACCTGTTCTCTCCCCTGGATACTGAGGCTGTTCATACTTATTTTCTATTTTATGGCACAGTGACAGTCCTGGTCCACAGACCTTGGTCATTCGCGGTGCTTCCTGAAGCGCGCTGTGTGCGGCTCGCCGTCCGGCTGGGCCCCCGGCCGCCCTCCCCAGGGACGGCGCCGGTCTGCGTTCCTGCTACGAGGGGGCGCGTGTCTCCTTAATGCTGGCCAAGGCTCACCCTCTCCTTGGCCTTGTCTTTTCAGTTTGGCCAAAATGGCAACTTGTCTTTACTACTTTGGTTATTAGTGGGCTGAGTGGTTTTTCACGTCCTTCTGGCTGTTTTTATCTTGTAAAAGTTGCTTGTTTATGATGAATGCATTTCTGTTCTGTAGGAAACTCCGGGACCTTATACAGCAGAGGCTGATAAAATTCTTCATTGACCAGAGTAAAAAAGATGCTGAGAAATATGCCAAGTTTTTTGAAGACTATGGCTTGTTCATGAGGGAAGGCATCGTGACCGCTGCTGAACAGGAGGTCAAGGTAGGACGTGGGTTTCCAGGCCTCTGGGCCGCTGTGCATGTGGAAGAAACTGTTGGAGGCCAGAACCCTGATGATGGCGCCAGGGGCACCCTCGCCCTGCTCCCCAGGGGTCCCTGGGCATCGCCTCTAGCCTCGGCCTGTGCCGGGGGACGCAGCAGGCCCCACCTGATCAGGGGTGCCCGTGCCCTGGCCCTCCCCCCGCAGGGCCCAGCCCCGCTCCCCTCTCCCGAGGCTGGAAGGAAGCAGGTGTCGTGCTGCCTCCTCTCCCAGGGCTTGGGGCTCAGAGGCCACCGGGGGCCGGGGGCCCTTTGGGGAAGGGCCAGGCCACCGTGTGCTCAGCAGCCCGGTGTTCGGGGAGCCTTGCAGGTAGCTACGTGAACATGATACAAGTGTGCCATGGACCTGTTCTGGCTGATTTCAAACTGTAGTATGATTCACATACCATGAAATTCACCTTCTGAAAGGGGACAGTTCAGTGGCACTTCATACAGACCACTCGTCACCCACACACCTGTCCCCGTTAGGGGACTCCCAGTGCCGGGGTTCCAGCTTCTGCACCGGAAGAGCAAGGAAGGGGGTGGCCCGACGTCTGGGGTTCCCGAGGCTCACTCTTTGGGCCGGTCGCCTCCCCCGCAGCCTCTGGGCAGTGCGTGCTGCTGCTTTGTGCACTGCTCCGGGACTGGTAGCTCGCGTAGCGCATTCGTGTCAGTGAGGATCCGAGACGGGAGCGCGAGCGCCGGCCTAGGGCGAGCGCAGAGCGGGAGCGCCGGGGCTCCCGGCCCTGGTCTGCCTCTGTGTGTCGGCCTTCCGCCCACCATCTTCACTGTGCCTGTTGTTTGTCGGCTGTGATTATCGGAGATGAGTCCGTGGTGCAGACAAGGCAGGGTTTATGTCAGGCCACGTCCGGGTTCGTGGCATCAGCCCGGCTGCAGCCTGTTCCACCCTTCTGTCCCTCCAGGCAGCTCCTATGGAGTCGAGGTGACCCCAGCAGTCGCCTCAAATTCCAGCCGAAGTATGAAGGGGGGAAGCACAAGTCCCTTCGAGTGACATGCCTCACTTTCCCCTGCCCCCACTGGCCAGGACAGTCCCCTGGCTGTGAGGAGGGCTGGGAAATGGGGATTTCACACCTGCGTCCCCGTGCCTGGCCAGAGGAGAGGGCTGTGAGGGACAGAGGGCGAAGGGGGAGCAGGCTCTGGGCAGGGCCCCTCCACAAGGCCCTGGGCCACCCGGGGTGGAAGGTGCTTTCCAAGGCCCCCTGAGATTTGGGTGTGGGGACTCAGGGGCACCACCGGGGTCCCCACAGCCCCCAGGGGCCCAGCCTCTCCGGAGCACTGCGCCCAGACCCGACCTCTGCAGGAGCTGCAGAACAGGTGACTCGGCCACAGGGCCGGCCAGAGCTGCCGCCTCCTGGCCGTGGGCTCCCCGAGTCTGTGCCCCGCTGGCTGGGAGGCTCTCAGCTAGCATCCGGGATGAGCAGTGACTGGCCCTTGTCCGCAGGAGGGGATTGCGAAGCTGCTGCGGTATGAGTCCTCAGCCCTACCTGCCGGGCAGCTGACCAGCCTCCAGGACTATGCTGGCCGGATGCGGGCTGGCACTCGCAGCATCTACTACCTGTGCGCCCCCAGCCGCCACCTGGCTGAGCATTCGCCCTACTATGAGGCCATGAAGCAGAAAAACACGGAGGTGGGTGAGCCTCGGGGCAGCTGCTGGGCTGGGCCCCCTGCATTTGCCCTTCCCGCTGGGACCATGTCAGGACAAGGTGGGGGCCCAGCACCTGCATCAGGGTCTCTGCTCAGTGCAAATGGCTGAACGTGCCCAGGACCCAGGAGAGCCAAGCAGCTCGAGTCAGCGTCCAGGGGCCTGGAGTCCTGGGCCCACGCCTGCCGTCCAGTCTGTGTCTCCCGCGGAGGCGGCCCTGGGATCTCTCATGAGCAGCCACCTTCTGTCGCTGAGACGCAGCCAGAGCTCCTCAGCCCCAGCTGGCCGACCAACCTCCGCAAGGCCCGGGGTGCCCCGGCGCCCCCTGGGGACCCCCCACCACTCAGGCTGGCGCTCCTTGTCGCAGGCAGAGACCTCCCCCGGCCCGAGGGCCTCACTGTCGGCCCCTGCAGGTCCTCTTCTGCTACGAGCGGTTCGATGAGCTGACCCTGCTCCACCTTCGCGAGTTCGACAAGAAGAAGCTGATCTCTGTGGAAACAGACATCGTGGTCGACCACTACAAGGAGGAGGGGTCTGGAGATGGGTCCCCAGGTTGGCCTTCCCTCTCGCAGGGGTGGGTGGCGACCCACGGGGTGCAGGCGGAGGGGGTAGGCTGGGCCCCGGGCTGGCACCGTTTGCTGCAGGGCCCCTCCTACCCAACAGCACTGCGTTTCATGGGGTTTTCCTCACTCGTATCTGGAATTACCGGCCTGTCCCAAAGAAGCTGTTTCGGGAACATTTTTAAATTCTTCAAACATTCTGATGAATGGAAACCACTTACCTCTTTGGACCCCACGGTCTCCAACATTGCTTCCAACTTGCTTTCCTTCAGATTGATGGGAGTTTCCTAACAAAGGCTGTGTGGGCCTCAGGCAGCCAAAGGTGTCCTGAGGTCCTTTTTTGCTGCTTGATTTTCAGTGAAAAGCCCTGGGGAAGCTGTCTGTGTGCAGGCAGCCAGCAGGGGTGGCTGGGGCCTGCCTGGCACTTGGCATGTTGACATCTCAGGCGCCCAGAGGTGCCATGGTGGAGCGGGGCACATGGCCTCTGAGCCCAGCCCTTCTGCTGTCCCATAGCCGGTGACCGCCTGTCAGAGAAGGAGGTGGAGGACCTGATGGCCTGGATGAGAAATGCGCTGGGGACACGTGTCACCAACGTGAAGGTGAGGCTGTCGTGGCCCTCGGTGACAGCACAGCTGGCTGCCTCGCCAGCTCTGAAGGGCTGGCCTGGTGGGCGTTCTCCCAGCAGCTGTTGAAGCCGTGATAAGAGGTGGGGCCCAGGCGTGCCACTGCCACTCTTGTGTGTGCCACATGTGGCCACGTGTGCCCAGGGTTGTTGCTGAGGCAGGCAGCTGGCCTATTTGCTGCACTTTATAGAGCAGGTGGGAACCGAGAAAATGTAGGGTGAGCCGCTGAGGGCCTTGTGGTCACGAAGCAGAGAAGAGGGGTCCCCAGCTGGCCACCCCAGAGCCATCCTGGTCTGGGCCCCAGAGAAGCTATGGTGGCAGAGGACACAAGGGCTTCCACCCTGGGCCTGGGGGCGCTGATTTTCCAGCTGGAGTTCTAGGGGGCACTGGGGTGGGTTTCAGTGAGTCCAGAAAAAGCCAGCCCAGCACAAACCTTCAAGAGACAGTCACCAGGGAACAGGTGTCCAGTGCAGGCACTGGCACACATTCAGGGGTGGCCCCAAGGGACAGATGGGGCAATGACCCAAAGCAGAGGAGGGCAGCCCTGTGGAGGCGACAGGAGGCCAAGGTGTGCAGCTGAGTCTCTGTAACACATGGACTGAGTCCATGCTTTTCATTGGTAACTTGGTTAAGGTGACCCCCAAGGTAGGTAAAATCGTCCCTGTCCGGGGATGGAAACGGGGCCCAGCACCTCCCCGGTTACACACTGGGTGGCGGCGAGCTGGGTCTGAGTCAGCTCAGGTGTTTTTCATTATCACACTGCTGGGAAGGGAGGCCCAAGTCAGGAGGCCCAAAGCCCCGGGGTGGGCAGAGGGCCGGCCTGTGAACAGCGGGGAGCAGGTGGGAATGCTTCGGAGGGGCAGCTGGTTAGCCACCGGCCGGACGGAGCCCCTGTAGGAAGGAGGCTCTGCCATTCGCACGTTGGGCTGAGGGCAGGTAGACCTGCGTGGAGGCCCGCTGGGCCTGGGCAGCAACTGGTCCACTAGAAGCAGGTGGCTTTAGAAGGGGAAGGAGGCTCCAGGAATGCAGTGGGGCAGGGGTGGGCGTTGCTGGCCGAGGTCTGGGAGGGTCTGTCCCTGGGGACCTCTGTTCTCCTGCCTTGTCAACCAGGGAAGCTTCATACCTGGGCAGGACCCCACTGGCCCAGGGCCTTCACGACCAGGCCCCCGTTGCCCTGGGGCGCCTGTCACCCCCGGGCCCTGGCCTTGCCTGTAGGTGACTCTTCGACTGGACACCCACCCTGCCATGATAACCGTGCTGGAGATGGGGGCTGCCCGGCACTTCCTGCGCATGCAGCAGCTGGCCAAGTCCCAGGAGGAGCGTGCCCAGCTCCTGCAGCCCACGCTGGAGATCAATCCCCGGTAAGGCCGCCAGCGCCTAGGCCGTGACCCTCTGACCTGCCAGGTAATCCTGTGCAGGGATGCCAGTCTTTCTTCTCTTATTTGACACTTAAAAAGCCCGTAAAACTTATGTACAGTTCCCTGAATCTAAAGACAACACCTGTGTAGTTCGGCCAAATGAAATCTAAACCGGTACCCATGTAAAGTTTTAAAAACACCCTCGGCGGCCTCCGCATGCTCCCCTCCTTCGCGCCCGTTGGAGTTCTGTCCCTCTCCTCGGGGACCCGTGGCCCTAACTTGTGCTAAGTGATTGTTTTCTTGCTCTGCTTTATGGTTTTACCGTACATGTAGCTCAGTTGTGCCTGTTGCCGACCGTTTATGTGGATGGAACCCCGGGGTGTGTGGGAGCCTTGCTCTCCCCCGTTCCGTGTGGGGGAGGCTGTACTGTGTTAACTGCTGCAGCTCCGGCCACAGTCACAGTCTGAAGCTACCTCGGCGCATATGTGTCTTGATGGACATTTGTGTAGTTTTGTTTAGCTTTTGTGCCCAGGTGTGATGCTGCCGTGTCCTCTGCTGGACCAGGTGGAACCCAGCTGCTGGCACCGGCTCCCCTTATTTCCTGGCCTTGAGCTTGGTTTTCTCGTATTTCTTACTTCTTTTCTAGTGTCTTTTCCTATTGGATTCTTTATATACACTTCATCAGTTAAAAATGTCATTTGCTACTTTGTTTTTGCACCTGCTAAAAGATGTTAAAAGATATGTTTTGACCCAAAATTCTTAATCAAAGGCACAAATCTCCCTTTTTGCCCATTTTGTTTTTATTGAAGTGTAGTGTACATGCAATTTTATATTAGTTTCAAGTATACAACATAGTGATTCAACATAGTGATACACAAAAGAGTCCCCACACAATCATCACGTTACTGACCATGTGCTGTGCTGTGCCCTGATCCCCGTGACTTACTGGCTTTGAAGTGGAAGTCTGCACTCTTAATCGCCCTACCCTGTAACCCTTTGTTAGGTGCTTTTTTGGATCTTAAGCCCTTTTCTTCTAAAAGCTTTACAGTTTGGGCCATTGGTGTTGGTTTTTAGCCCACCTCTGGGTAGTTCAGGATGACCCTGGACCTCTCCCACATCCCACTGTGTGTGACCCGCGATCCGCTGTCAGGTGTCGGTGCGCACGTGCTCTATGGGCCTGTCTATGGCAGGGCCGCACCACCCCAGCCCCCCCAGGCCTGGCTCTTCGGCCAGCAGGCCCCCAGCCCCTCGGGGACGTATCACGGTAGCCTGGCCAGTCATCCGCACTCAGACTTCTGGGCTTGAGACTGAGACTGTATTGATTCCCAGTCAATTTCAAATGAACCTGCCATCTTTATGATACCAATCTTTTCCACCCATTAACACAATGTCTTGTGATAACTTACATTTTCTGGAGAGCTCTTAATTTTTTATAATCATTCTTTGTGTCTCGTATTTCGAAATTTCATTTTCTAACTGTTGCTGTTGTATATGAAGACAGTTTGGGTGGGATTTGTATATAGCAATAGTTTTTTTAATGATATTATATAAACAAGTTACTATAAAAATACCAGAAAATAACAAAAACAAAACCCAGACTCACCGCCCCCCAGCCCACCATTAGTCACTATAGCCTTTGTGTGGGCTGGGTTTAGAACTAATGGTTTTATCACGAGTATTTTCCGTGTTGGTTTATAGCCGTGTTTTCTTTATTACATATAAACTGGGGAATGAGGGGAGGTGATGACTGGGTGAGAGATCTGAGTTGGCTTATGACTCTCAGGCAGAGCCGAAGTGCTTATTTCCATTGCCAAAAGGCTTTAAATGTTTTATTTCCTTTTAAAGCTGGTAATATATTCATATGGTTCAGAATTCAAAACAACCAAAGCAGTTTATAGTGAAAGTTTCCCCCTACACTTGCGCCCAGTGCAGCCCAGTTAGCAGAGACAGTGTTTCGTGTGGGCGGGTCTCGTCCGTGGCCGCCTCGGCTGCACTGCGGCGAGTTGCTGAGCCTCCCATTGCTTTTTACGGGTTTCCTGCTCTCGGTGGGGCTGTGAGGAAGGGGACTTGCTTGGTTCTTACAGACCTACATTTCCCCAGTTTTTGCCATTCTTTTCTCATTTAAGGTAAAATTTCAGTTAAACACTCTACAGGCGTACTTCACTTTATCAGGCTTCCCAGGAAACTGCTTTTTTTTTTTTTTTTTAAAGAATTCCAATATTTGTGGCCACCCTGCATCAAGCAGGTCTGTCAGTGCTGTTTTTCCAACATTTGCTGGGTTTGTGGCTGGTAGATTTTGTTAATTGTCCCAATGTTTCAAATGTTTTCCTGATGACTCACTGATAGCGCTAAGGGTGACTAGCACCTCTTTAGTCCTGACGCCGTACACTTTGGGGAAACCTGAGGTCTGCCTGCACAAAGAAGTTCAGCTCGATTGTTATTTTTGACTTCTGGGTTTCATTTTGCTTGGAAAGGCTTTCCCTTCTGAGATTTATATAAAACATTTCTTCAGTTTTCTTCTAAATTTTTACATTTAATTTTAGTGTGACCTGAGGGGCTAGAGGAATCAGCTTGTTTTCTGGTTGCCTGTCCAGTTGCCCTGTCTTAAGCCTCTACAGATACCAGCCACTGCTACACCTCAGCTTTGGTGCGCTGGGCTGCTGGGTACACCTGTCTGAGTCTCCTGGGCACATGACCCAGTGGGTCACTAGGGCCCTCGTGCTGGTGCCACCTTCCGGTGGTTTCTGTGTTGCAGGCACACGCTGATCAAGAAGCTCAGTCAGCTGAGAGACAGCGAGCCTGACCTGGCCCAGCTGCTTGCGGAGCAGGTGAGGACCGAGGCTGCCGGTCTGGGAGCCTGCCTCCTCCCGTGTGGGGAGAGCGCTCCGCATTTTAGGTCCCCAAGTTGGAACTAGGGCTCGGCCCTCCCCCCTGATGAAGCCCCACCCTGCCTTTCAGATCTACGAGAACGCCATGATCGCAGCAGGGCTCCTGGATGACCCCCGCCCCATGGTGGGCCGCTTGAACCACCTGCTCGTCAAGGCCTTGGAGCGGCACTGAGGGGCCTGCGGTGACAGGGCAGAAGGCGCTACATGAACCCCACACCCCTCTGCTGTGTGAAGAGGCAGCCTGAGCCTAGGGATGGGATGTCACTGCTGAGAACACCCACTTTATTTTTTTTTAGGCGACGCTGGAAAACAAACATTTACAGATGAGGTGTATTGACATGAATGTGTACAAATGAAGGCAAAACTGATCTCTGGCAGGCAGGAATTCCCGTCTGCTTTGTTTATGAGCAGTTGAGCCTCTACAGGACGGGACAATTTGCATTTCTATAGACAAGAACTATCTTGCTTTGCTGTTTGTTAGTGACCTACAACTTACAGTCATGAAATAACTCACAGACGACGAAAAACCAGAATCAGGAAACTTCTAGAAGGCTATACTGGATGTAGGCGATGTGCTGTTCCCACCGAAGCATGAATTTTCCTGCAGTGCCCAGAGGGAAATGAGATCAGAAAGTTCTATATCATCGTGGTGCTGGTGGGGACTTGGCTGTGTACATTTGTTACGACTCACTGAACTGTACCATTAAAATAGGTGAGTTTCTTGTATATATCAAATACACCTCAGTTGATTTTTTTTCCTATAGTATTTTTTGTTGTTGTTGTTATCATTTACAATTACGTGAAGAACATTATGTTTACTAGGCTCCCCCTTCACCAAGTCCCCCACATACCCCATTACAGTCACTGTCCATCAGCGTAGTAAGGTGCTGTAGAGTCACCACCTGTCTTCTCTGTGTTGCACAGCCCTCCCTGTGCCCCCCCCACACACCCCCTTATCCCTCCCTTTCCCTTTGGTAACTGTTAGTCCATTCTTGGGTTCTGTGATTCTGCTGCTGTTTTGTTCCTTCAGTTTTTTGTTGTTCTTATACTCCACAGATGAGTGAAATCATTTGGTACTTGTCTTTCTCTGCCTGGCTTATTTCACTGAGCATAATACCCTCTAGCTCCATCCATGTGGTTGCAAATGTGAGAACACCCACTTTTGAGCTTTATTTGAATTAAAATGTATTTCTTAATCTAAGTGTTTGTTAGGCTTTTTGTCCAGACCAGAAGGCAGGGTGCTCAGGCGCCGCAGGTATAGTGAGAGGCCGCCTACCTTCCATCACCTCCTCGGACTCCAGCAGCCGTGGGGGCAGCACCCAGAGGACCTGTCACATCCAGGGGCTGCGGCCGAGTTCAGCAGCCAGCTCCCATCAGGCGCTTCGCAGCCTCACCTCCACTGGGTAATGGTCACTGACGGCTTGGGCCTGCAAGGGAGCGTGTCGGGGCGCCCAGAGGTTAAGTCTCCACAAACTACTGCCCGGGTAGGATCAGGCTCCTCCACCCTGGCTCCCAGAGGACAGACACGTACCGTCTCGTTACTCAGTCCAAACGCAGCTTGGAAGTCAAAGGGAGCAGCCGAGCCGGGCACGACGGCGCGCTGGAGCAGAGTCCCAGCAACCACAATCCTGCAGCAGCCAGAGCCACGGAGGTGCCCTTCAGCCCAGTGTGCGTGCCCTGGCTGCGCTGCACACGGCAACTGACCAAGACCATGGACCCCTCGGTGGGCTTTGCCCCAAAATTTAATAGCTGCCCTCCCTCCATGGATCAGCTCCAGCTCCAGGAGGTGTCAGGTCTTGGAAGTGTTTCTGAAGCTGGACCTAGAAGTCAAGCCTGCTCACGAGGCACCCTTGTCCCTGCCCTGCAGAACTCGCCCAGCTCACCTGTCGTAGGCACAGTGCGTGGATGTGACCGTGGTGTCTGCAGTGTCTGGAATCAGCCACTGGAAGGCAGGGCTCGTGCGCAGGCGGATGGATGGCCAGGAAGAGGGGCTCACATAGCTGCAGCCAGCGTTGAAATCGCCCATCAGCATGATGTCCTACCAGAAGACACCACCAGCTGGCCCAGGGACACAATGGGGACTTGTGGAGCCCAGTGCAGGGTGTGGGGCCTTACCTCCAGGCCCCACCTCTGCTGGACGTCCAGATAGACGTCATAGAGTGCGTCAATCTCAGCCACTGCATCTGACGGAGCTGCGTGCAGGGGAACAATGGCAAAGTCCCGGACCTCTGTGGAGGCGGTAGGCATGCTGAGTGTGAGTGGAGGGCAGGCTCAGCCCTGCACAGGGGGTCCCCCGCAGCACTCACCAGTGAGTGGGGAGTGCACCCTAATGACCGCTGGCTCTCGGCTGAAGGTGTCGTTCCCGCAGGGCTCGCAGCCATCGTCATACTGGTAACTGTCTGGCACGGACACCTGGTGAGGTCTGCAGGCCAGGCAGAGCGTGGTTAACCTGGGGGTGGGGGCACCGTCCCATCTCAACTAAACCCACCGGCTGCTGCTTGGAGAGCAGGCGCCTGGTTTCAGCTCCCAGGCCGAGGCCTTGGGCACAGCCCACACCTGAACAGGAACAGGTAGCGCTCCTTGTAGGTGCCGCGTCCCAGCGGCTCGCTGACCACGTAATGGAAGGTGTTGGGGTCATCCCTGGGTTGAAACAAATACCACTCGGGATCTTCGGCCACTCACAGGTGGGCTCCTGTCTGCACCAGTACCCCTGGGACCCCACTGCCGTCACCCACTGGTTGAGCTTGTCCAGCAGGCTCCCGACAGCGGTCAAGTGGCTGTCTCTGACCTCCTGGATGAGGGCGATGTCATAGCGATTCACGATCTGGGGGGGGGACCACAGCAGAGCTGCTGCTTCCTGGGGTGCCTCCACAGCACAGCTCAGCCCTGTGCCCCGACTGAGGGACTGAGACCAGAGCTCTGGACGAAAACCCCCAGTGGCTGCCCTCAGGACTGACTGCTGGCCCCGTGTGCCCACCCCCGAGGTTACCTGCACAATGTAGTTGGAGAGGGTGGCGTTGGACATCTTAGCTTCCCCGAAAGTCCGGATGTTGAAGGCTGCTATTCGCAGGGCCAGGGCCACCTGCAGCAGGCTGGCCAGGCTCAGCAGAGCACCCGCCAGTCGGGTGCCCCTCATCCTGGAGAGAAGGGCTGTTTACATGTGGGTCTGGGGGTAGTGGCGACAGTGCCCAGACCTCCCCAAAGTGGAGTAGATCCTGTCTTGCTGGGCTGAGTAGGGTGAGCCTCCAGAGCTCTCACCAGCGTCCAGAGGCCCAGACACCCCACGCCACATAGGGGACCCTCAGGTCTTCTCCTGCCTCCAGCCTGAGACCCCGCGGTGCACGCTGGGACACCTGCCAGCCCTGCTGCAGGTCCCACCTAGCTAGTCCTGGCTGGGGCTCTTCCACTGTGGCCACGGTCACCCCTCGGGGCCCACCCTCCATAGGCTCTCGGGGCTCCAGACGCTCACCTGAAACTGGGCGTCTCCCAAGGTGATGGAAGTTCTGCCAATAGTCAGGAGTTGGTATCAATGTTCTCCTTCTTCTGCTTTAAGAAAAAAATAGCATACAAAGGGGAGTTGACTAAGAGACGCGGCCGAGATGCCTGCAGAGCTGCTGCAGCCCCGAATCCTGGCACAGGAGGCTTACCTGCTCAGGCTTTTAAAGCTTCAGGCCGCCACGACCTTCCCCAAGGCACCCGCCGCCTGGAGCAGAGTGGTGGTGTTTGTGGCTCCCGGCACGTGACAGGCGGCCGTGCGTGTCCATCAACAGGCATAGGCTCCTGCTGCTGTGAAAAGAGCACCTGATGATATTTGCACTTGGTTTTAGCCTGACAATAGGTCAGAGGCCCCAGTGTCCTTCACACGTGCTGCTCTCCCAGGGGTGGGGGCAGGCGTTGGGGGGCGCTGGCCCCGGTTCAGCTTCCGCCTAGGGAACCTGAGATGACCTTGGAGCTACAGGTCCTGCAGGAACGAGGACCGCCCACGTTGTTTGTTGCAAATGGGGTCCATGAGGGCTGCGGGTGACCCTGCTAGAAGCTGGGATTCCCACCTCACGGCCAGTGAGGCAGTGGGGGGCCTTCTGGGGCAGATGAGATGCAGGTGAGCCCAAGTGACCGGGTTAGGGTTGTGACCAGATCACAAGGACACAGGCAGCAGCTAAGGGGCCAGTCATTTCTTTTTTGGAATCCTTGACCTTCCCATTTCTATCTGAGGCCCTTCCTGCCTCCGTGTCCCAAGGCCTTCTCCCCTGTCTCTGCCCCTCTCGTAAAGACAAATGTGACCGAACTTAAGACCCTTCCTGGGTAAGTCAAGATCTTTGGTCACTCCTGCAGAGGCCTTTTCTGCCATGTAACACTCACAGGGTCCCAGGATGAGGAGATGGGTATCTTCCGGGGGCCACTGTTCAGCCCAGCACCTCATCTTGGGGGCTCTGTCCCCATTGGAAGAGGTGGTCTCCCAGGACAGCCCTGCCCTTGGGAGAACTGGGCCCTCCCTGGAATGGAAGGGTCAGTGTGAAGCTGGTCAACTGAACGGGCGGCCCCGAGGGCAGCAGGGATCGACGCCAAGCCCGGGGAAGTGCTGCCGATGGGGCCAGCTGGTCATGGAGCAGGAGGATGTGACGGGGGACTACAACTGGTTCAGGTGAACCACCTCCAGCCAGACCAGGATCCCCTGGAGTAATGAAACCGTGGGGATGGGGGCACTGGCTGTCAGCACTCGGCTCACAGCCCCTTGATTAGGCACCTGCAAGACAGGCAGCCTGGCCCCCGGGCGGCCAGGAGCCCCACCACAGCCTCTTACAAAGGGCTGACTGCTGATTCTCCCCGTTTTCAGTCTCAGGCTTTAAGCAAGTCAAAATCCAGACCCCCAGCTACCAAGCGTGTTCAACACAGGTTCTCAGACCCCTCTCTTCCATGAATTTTTTTCCTGTACACACACTTGCCAGGCTTTCTGAGGGGACCATGGGAACGGACTTCAGAGGGAGGCCACCAGCTTCTGGGCAGACATGGGGCTGCTGCCCACAGGTGGCACAGCCGTGGCTCATACCACAGGTGCCTGTCCCCGCTCCGTCCTCAGCCAAGTGCTGCCCCTTCTGCTCTGGGGGCTCCCTGCCACAGTCCCTCCTCCACCTGCAGGGGGAAAGGTCCTGGCTGTGGCCCCACTTGTACCAAATGCCGAGCTATCTGCACGCCGCCGTGCTGGGCCCCTGTGAGAGGCAACACCGCCCTGGAAGAGCCGGGCCCTGGAGTCAGGAATTCAGGCCAACACCAGGCTCACCCACAAGCACCTATAGCCATTTCGAGCCTCATTCTTTTCATATATAAAAAACAGGGATAAAACTGGCACTGCCTTCCTTTTAGGTTCTTCTCAAGGTGATAGAATATCAATCCACAGAAGAATTATTGTACATTTCTGTAAAAACTTCAGCTTGCCCCTAGGACAGTAATCCCCTGCGATGGTACATTCCCACTCGTATCTGCCATCTGTGTTATTAACAAGCAATCCCAAAGCGCCGTGTACAATGTGCATTTTCTCTCATGCTCATGGGCCTGCAGGCCAGCTGGGAGGGCTCTGCTCACCGGGCACCTTTCTGGGGCTGGGCTGGAGGGATGGTGGCTACCCAAGACATGCTCTTCCTACGTGGGGGAAGGCGAAAATTGCCAGAGGGCTGAACACACATTTTCAGAGGCCTAGGCTCTGAATTTGCACGCTGCCACTCCTGCCCACTTTCTGTTGGCCTTGGCAAGCGACAGGGCCAAGCC